GCTCCCCCTTTGACGACCACACGCCCGCAGAAGGCCTCTTCAGTCCGCACGCGTACCTGTTCCGCGGCCCCATGAGCGGAGGCCATTGGTTCGTCGTGATCTCTGCGCCTTCCTGTTCGAACGCCCCCAGTACTAGCAAAACTCTGGCCCTCTGCGACCCCCTGTTCGCGCGTCCGCACGTCACCCCGCCATCCGACTTGGATCGCATGCTCGCCATCTGGGCCTCCAAGATCGCGTGGAACTCCGTGGGCGATGTCCACTGCGACTGGCGATGTTTCCTCATAGCCAAGCAGATGTGACCGATCGGTCAGCGCGACCGCGCGCGGCGCCGCGAGGGCACCGAGCGCGCGCTCCGGAGCCCATGATTTCCTAGGTGGCCTCCTCCTCCTTGTCCTCCTCCTCCTGCCTCTCCCCCCCCCTCCGCTCCTTGGTAAACGTCGCGCCACCTCCTCCTCCTCCTCCTCCTCCGCCTCGTCCTCTTCCTCCTCTTCCTCTTCTCGCCCCCCTCCTCCTCCCCCGCCCCTTTCTCCTCCTCCCCCTCCTCGTCCTCCTCCTGCTCTTCCTCCTCCTCCTGCTCCTCCTCCTCCTCCACCTCCTCCTCCCCCTCCTCCCCTCCTCGTCTTCCTCCTCCTCCTCCTCTTCCTCTTCCTCTCCTCCTGCTCCTCCTCCTACTCCTCCTCCTCCTCCTGCTCCTCCTCCTGCTGCTCCTCCTCCTCCTCCTCCTCCTCCTCCTCCTCCTCCCCTGCTCCTCCCCCCACCCCTTCCTCCTCCTCCCCCACTCCCTCCTTCTCCCACTCTTCCTTCCCTCCTCCCCCTCCTCCCTCCTCCTCCTCCTCCTGCTCCTCCTCCTCCTCCTTTTGCTCCTCCCTCCCCCTCCACCCAGGATGCCTCAACGCCGCGTCTCACGTTGCTCTCCTTCGAGTGGCCTCACCGGGCACCAGGGGCCATGATTTTCCAACCAGCCTTCGTCGTGGTCTCGCCGACGGCCCCGGCGCCCGCGGCCGCGCTGCTCCGCGGCGGACCATGCCCATCGAAGCTCCTGCTTCGGCAGCCGCCGCGTCGAGGTTTGCGGGCTTCGGCGTTGGAGGCACTTCGCTGTTATAGTCGTCTGCGGGTTGTTTCTGAGCCCTTGGGCGTCCAAAAACAGATCCAGGATGAAAAACTGCATCGGGAGAGCCTGAGAAGGAGTCTGGCGAATGATTTTGCAAGGTTTTCGCCAGAGGAGGAGGGTCAGCCTCTGTGGAGGGGCAGGCCAGGATGCGCGGGGCCACCAAGAGATGGAGCTCCGCCCTCCATCCCCCCCTTCCCCCCCCCACTCGCCTCCTTCGTGCGTTCTTCAGAGGGCTCTCAGAGACTCCTGGCGCCTCTTGGGCACTCTTCAGCGCCAGGGGGCCGTGGCCACCGGAGCGATACTTGCCTCGGCGCCCGCTGGCGCAGCGGTGCCGTGACTAGAACCAAAGCGCGCGCGTAGCGCGCGCGTGGTTCTAGTACATATATATATATGTATATATGTATATATATTTATACACGCATAAGGGAGAGAAATGGAGGAGGAGGACACGAGGAGGAGGATGATGATGTGGAGGAGGAGGAGGAGGAGGAGGGGGGAAGGAGGCGGAGGAAAGGAGGAGGACACTAGGGTGGGGAAGTGTGAGGGGCAGGGCCTCACCAGAGGCTCTGGACGTTGAAAGGCTGGAATGGGCAGAACCCGACGGTTCTGCCACAGGACGTGGTGGGACAGCTGGCGAGAACCTTATCGGTTGTGCAAGGCGTATCAACGATTAGACCCAGGATGATCTGGGCAGACCAGACCCTCCATTCGTATAGTTGGTCGGAGCTTTTAAGGAACATGTGTACGTGGCGCCAAAGCGAGAGCTCGATTGTGAAAATGATCCGCCCTCAACCCTTGTAGCTCTTGGACATGCCGAGATTGTCCATGCAGTGCTTGTACGTAGGGAGGGTTTCTTATTTCCTTTTCCAAGGGACTTGGCTTGGCTGGTGGTCCAGCGGCTCCTTTCTCGCCGTCGCCGGCCCGTCTCCAAGTCGTCGCCGCCCGTCGTCTGGGCCCCGCTGGCGGTCTGGCGGCTCCATGCTCGCGGTCGCCAGCCCGTCGCCGCCTCGTCGCCGTCCGTTGTCTTGGGCCTGGCTGGTGGTCTTGCGGCTATGTACTCGCCGTCGCCGCCCCGCCGCCGCACAACATAGACTGCACCACATCGATTGTTCCACATATACTGCACAACATGAATTGCATCATGTAGGTTGCACCACATCAATTTCCCCATTTCTATTGCACCACACACATACATACATGTATATGTATACGTGTATGTACGTATATACATATAGACTGCACATCACGCATTACACCACATTTATTGCACCACATACACTGCGTCACACGCACTGCACCACATTGATTCTCTTTTTCAGAAAAAGTATTGGGATCTCCCCCCTGGGGTTAACAGTTTATTTTTCCTCTTTGCAACTCTCATATGGTTCTGCCCCATCGTCCATCCGACATTTGAATTCATACCATACCAGGCAGGCCGGTACTGATTCCCCCCTCATCCTCTGCCAAAGACTATGCGCGCACACTCGTTTATCAAAATCGTCAGTTTTCAAGAATCCATTGCAACATATGTGACGAAGTGCACACGCGCGCGTTTTGCGCGCGCATGCCGAAATTTTCGAAACATACCTAAGCTTCGTAAGGATTTCAAAATCCAGTGTCCCGAAAACATTTAAAACTAACACGGTTTTGCAACAAGGGTGTCCACAAAGCCTGCGCCCGTGCTCGTGCGAATTCTGAAGAGAACCATAGGTTTTCCAAACATTGCATAGACTGCTACCAGAAGGGCCTCTCGCGCGCGCATGTTGGAATCACTCGAACGCCCTTGCGTGCGTGCTGTCGAAATCGTCGCTTCTTCGCTTCCGGTGGTCCTCGGAGGTTTCTGGATGGTGTCATATGTCCGCACGTGCCCCAAGAGCAGCCCCACGAGGCCATAAGACGGCCCGAAGGAGCGCTCCAGAGTCTCCGAATCCGGTCCCGGATGACCTCCAAGAGTCCCCATGCAGGCGGCTTCCGAAAGCGTCGGGCGTGCCAAGAGCGCCCCAGATGAGCCCGAGGTCGCCCCAGGACGGTCGACGGGGGGCCCCAGCACCCTTCAAGATGAGACCGCGACGGCCCAAGATTTACGATCTTCCAACCTAGTTTGGCCTTGACCACCAGAAAGCTTGAGGATTTTCATGTGTCGCGCCCTGGGAGGCGACACTCGTTCGACATTGTTTGGACATTTTTCTGGGTGCTCCAAATTATTTCTGGGATGTGGTCCTTAAGTATGATTGGCACAAGATAACCCAAGATGGCTTCAAGACGGCCCTCGAGGCCGCGAGGCTCAAGATGGCATCCTGATAACCCCAAGAGGCCCCCACGAGACTTGCCAAGAGAGGTCCTAGAGGCCCCGAGTTGTGCTAGAACAAAAGTGCGCGCGAAGCGCGCGCGTGGCTATAGCAATATTTACACGCGCATACACACTGTACACGTATGTACATATGCATGTACGCTGTATAACATGTATGTGACCAGATGTACGCATACATTTAGGCATCAATGCATTCACGCATAGGTATGTATGCGAATGTATGTGTATGAGTATGTGCATACTTGGATTCAGACATGTATGTGCACATATGTATGTATGCATGTATGTATGTATGTATGTATATATGTGTGTGTGTGTATGTATGTATGCATGTATGTATGCATGCATTCATGCATGCATGCATGCATGCATGCATGTATGTATGTATGTATGTATGTATGTATGTACGTACGTACGTACGTACGTATGTATGTATGTATGTATGCATTTATGTGTGTATGTATGTATTTATGTATGTATGTATGCATGTATGTATGTATGTATGTATGTATGTATATATATATATGTATGTGTGTGTATGTATGTATGTATGTATGTATGCATGCATGCATGCATGCATTCATGCATGCATGCATGTATGTATGTATGTATGTATGTACGTACGTACGTACGTACGTATGTGTGTATGTATGTATGTATGTATGTATGCATTCATGCATGCATGCATGTATGTATGTATGTATGTATGCATGTATGTATGTATGTATGTACGTACGTACGTACGTATGTATGTATGTATGTATGTATGCATTTATGTGTGTATGTATGTATTTATGTATGTATGTATGCATGTATGTATGTATGTATATATATATATGTATGTGTGTGTATGTATGTATGTATGTATGTATGTATGTATGCATGCATGCATGCATGCATGTATGTATGCATGCATGCATGTATGTATGTATGTATGTATGTATGTACGTACGTATGTGTGTATGTATGTATGTATGCATGCATTTATGTGTGTATGTATGTATTTATGCATGTATGTATGTATGTATGTATACATGTATGTACGTACGTACGTATGTGTGTATGTATGTATGCATGTATGTATGCATTCATGCATGCATGCATGTATGTATGTATGTATGTATGTACGTACGTACGTATGTATGTATGTATGTATGTATGCATGCATGTATGCATTTATGTGTATATGTATGTATTTATGTATGTATGCATGCATGTATGTATGTATGTATGTATGTTTGTATATATATATATATATATATATGTATGTGTGTGTATGTATGTATGTATGTATGCATGCATGCATGCATGCATGCATTCATGTATGTATGTATGTATGTATGTATGTATGTATGTATGTACGTACGTACGTATGTGTGTATGTATGTATGTATATATGTATGTATGCATTTATGTGTGTGTGTATGTATGTATGTATGTCTGTATGTATGTATGTATGTATGTATGTATGTATGTATGTATGCATATATGTATATATACATATCTATACATATACACATGCACACATGTATGAAGGTGCATGCGGGCGGGATTCCACGTGCGGACGGACGGAGGCAGCATTTTGTTCTCTTGGCCTCGTCCATCCCCCTCTCCCTCTTCCCACTCCACCCCTCTTCTGGACCTCTTCCCCCCTTTCCCCCTCTTCTTTCTCCTCAAATTTCGCCTCTCCCGTCCGACTTCACGTCTTCTCTGCCCCTTCCTCAGTCGGTGCCCGAGCAGGCTCATAGTGTGGCTCAGTCGAATTTGGGCTGTCTGTTGTATTGTATGTCACGCGACGCTGGTATCGTCACCATTCTTGTGTTCTTGTGTTGAGCCGTATTTTTTAGTTTGTTTCTAAGAGTGCCTGTCCAGATGCCATGGGCTCGTTCCATCGCATCCGTTGACCGTCATGGGCGCTCATCGAGTCCAGAACAGATGGTTTCAGTGTTGTTTAAAGTGAATATTCTCCCCGCCCCGTTGCCGTTCGCCTCCCCCCATCCCGTCGTCGCGTTTGGATTGCAAGGGAGCGGTCCCTTCTACAGTCAACAGCTTTGGTTGCAGATCCTGGGTGTTGCCAGTAGCCCGCGCGGCCTCGGTGTTTTCAGAACAGGGATGCCATTGTCGACGCAGAGCTAGGTTGCAGATTGCTCCAGGTCTCGCTACGCACTCGTAGGTGTCAAGCTTTTTGCTAGCTCCGATGGGCCAGACTGAATGTCTATTCTCGTCCTTCTTGGGTGCCTCTGGTTTCAGACAAAAGGGATAGGGGATTGAAGGGTGTTGAAGATATGAGAAAGGCTTTTATAGAAATAGAGAAAGAGAGAGAGAGAGAGAGAGAGAGACATACAGAGAGCGAGAGAGAGAGAGAGAGGGAAGGGTGTGGTGTGAGGGGCTGGGGGAATGAACGGGGGAAGGGGATATATACATGGGCCAGCACAGTTGCGAATTCGAGTGAGGAGGTCTGGATTGGCGGGGGGGTCGGGGGTCGCGATCGCGGGAAGTTTGAGACTTCTTCACGGCCATTTCTGAAACATGGGCAGGATCAACCCCGTGCCCGCTGTGCAGATGCAGTCTTACAGTAGCCAGAGCGCAATTTGTTTTCAGGGGAACGCCTATTCTGACATCTCAGCTCCAACCAGTGCATTATATGCTAGAGGCACGCTCCTAGCATCATATACAGTGGTTTGTACGTTCTCGAACGGATTTCGATTTTACCGACTTCAATTTTGGTTTGATTTCGGAGTTAGGGGTTCGGTATCTTTCCCGAGTCCTTAAGTGTAGAGTGCTTGATGCAAACTCATGATCTTCAGGTTCAGCTGTCATGCTCAAATGCGTTGTAAGTTAGCCAGTTCTGAACTCAGGCGTTCTGCATCTTGGTTCCATTGGAACTTCTTGGCCAGGAGAGCGACGTCTAAGCAATCCTTGTCAGCTTGCTCGCTGCAGAGTCAGCCTTGTATGCATCTTCACAGGTATCGCCTCATTGCAGTCAAGCTGCCAAACCTCGGTTTCCATGTCGATTGGGCACTTTTGCGAGGATGGATGCTGAATGATCAGGCGTTGTTCCATCACCGGCATCTGTTTTGCCCAAAGTCGAAACGTCGAGTAAACAAAACGTTAACGTGCGTGTTTACCCCGTTCAGCCCAATCAGCAGATCATGACATCGCCTGCGTTATATTTTGTGATGTGGTTTTTCCAACACAACAATCAGCCAAGTAAAGGTTGCATGCCTGCCAAACATCTACTGGTCAATCGAACCAGTCTCCAGCGCGAGTGGCCTCAATGGACGAAAACACGGCGGTGCCAACACGCGTTCCGAGAATCTTCGACAGGAGCGGGGCATCTGCCTCCCTGGCCAAGCCAGTGGGGCGCGTACACGGCTCCCTGACCCAGGATGGGCCTGGCCAGGGGCGGGGCGGTGGACATGCGCAGGTCTCGCCGCCCTACGGAAGAGGGAGATGAGAGGGAAGAGGGAAGAGGGACGCTTTTTTTCCCCCGTTTTTTTGTGTTGTTGTTTCTCTCTTCTTTCTTTGTTCTATATTAAAATGAAAAGTATAAAACATATGCGAATGCTGTACGATGAAAACAAGACTAATATTTCAACTGCTACAAGAACTGCCGAGTGCAGCTTGTCTCGGCCCTGCCGCTGGGCACCCTCCTCGATGCACCAAGACCCGCCCCTCCTCGATGGAGTCACCTCCTCGCGTCCCGCGCGGCGGGCTGCTCCCCCGTCGGCCCACTGCCCGCTCGTGGACCGAGCCGGACGGGCCGCCCGTCCGCGGTCCGCTTTCGGCCACGCGCGGAGGGGGGCAGGGGGAGTGGGGAAGGCTTCTTAGAGCAAGCGCGCCACTCACCCTGTAGTTGAGAGGGGGGGGTCCGACCCCGCCCCCCCCCTTCCCCCCTTCAAAGGGGGGGTGAGATTTTCGGCCCCCCCCCCCTCCCCGTAAGGGGGGAAGTGTCCGAACCCCCCCCTCTTCCCCCCCGGTGAACGGGGGGGGGTCCGAACCCCCCCCCTTCCCTCCCTTGGCGCTGGAAAGGTGGGGGGGGTGGTTCGAACCTCCCCCCCCCCCTCCGCCCCTTTGCGCCGAACAGGGGGCCGGGGAGAGGGCCTCTCCCGCAAAGGGGGGGGGGTCTGGCTTCGGGATGGTGAATAGTGAGTAGTGCGTGGGAAATAGTGAGTAGTGAGTAGTGAATAATGAATAGTGAGTATACAGTAGCGAGTAGTGAGGGGTGAGGAGTAAGTAGTGTGTAGTGCGCACTGCGTTGTGAGTAGTGAGTAGTGAGTAGTGAATAGTGGGTAGTGGGGAGTGGGTAGTGAGTAGTGAGTAGCGAGTAGGGGGTAGCGAGTGGTGAATAGTGAGTCGCGAATAGGGCACTGTGAGTAGTGAGTAGTGAGGTTGGAGTAGTCGGTAGTGAGTGACGAGTAGGGAGTATCGAGTAGTGAGTAATGGGTAGTGAGTAGTGAGTAGGGAGTAGGGAGTAGTGAGTAGTAGAAGTCAGAAGTGATAATCGGGTATTGAGTATTGGGCAGTGGGTAGTGCGTAGGGAGTAGGGAGAAGTGGGTAGTGAGTAGTGAGTGGTGAGTCGAGTGAGTAATGAACAGTGAGTTGTGAGTAGCGACTTGTGACTCGTGAGTAGAGAACAGGGAGTAGGGAGTAGGGAGTAGTGGGTAGTGAAAAGTGAGTAGTCCGTAGTGGGTAGTGGGTAGTGACTATATCGTAGTGAGTTGTGAGTAGTGAGAAGTGCGTGGTAGGTAGTGAGTCGTGAGTAGTGAGTAGTGAATACTGAATAGCGAGTAGAGAGTAGCGTAGCGATTTGTGACTAGTGACTAGTGGGTAGCGAGTAGGGAGTAGGGAGTAGCGAGTAGTGAGTAGTAAGTAGTGAGCAGTGAGTATTGTGTAGGGAGTAGGGAGTACAGCCAGAAACCCGAATAAGGACGCGCGATTTTGCTCAGGGTACCCTTGCGTCCTTGCTCTTCCTTGCTCTTGCGTCCTTGAGGTTTTCGTCGTCCGCCGCCCCAAAAATGCCAACTTCGGTTTCCAAGGGTTTTGCGTCCTTACCGCGCGTCCGTATTAGGGTTTTTGATTGTAGCGAGGAGCGAAAAGCGGATAGTGAGTAGTGAGTTGTGGGCACTGAGTAGTGAGTAGCGAATTGTGAATATTCATCAGTGAGTAGTGGATAGTGGTTAGTGGGTAGTGAATAGTGCTTAATGAGTAGTGAATAGTGGGCGGTGAGTCGTGTTTTTGTGCGTAGTGATTACTGAATACTGGGTAGTGAGTAGTGAGTAGTGAGTAGTGAATTGGGAGTAGTGAGTAGTGAGTAGTGGGAGCGTAGTGCGTGGTGAGCAGTGGGTAGTGAGTGGTGCGTACTGGGCACCGAGTAAATGGTAGTGAGTAGCGAGTAGTGAGTAGTGGGTACGGAGTATTGTGTAGTGTGTAGGGAATAGCGAGTAGTGGATGGTGAGCAGTGAGTTGTGGGCAATGAGTAGTGAGTAGTGCAGTGTGAGTAGTGAGTAGTGGATAGTGGTTAGTGGTTAGAGGGTAGTGCGTAGTGATTCGTGATTAGTGCGTAGTGGGTAGCGAGTTGTGTTTAGTGAGTAGTGAGTATTGAGTAGTGGATAGTGCGTAGTGAGTAATGAGCGGTGAGTAGTGAGTAGTGAGTAGTGAGTAGTGGGTAGTGGGTAGTGCGTAGTGGGTAGTGGGTAGTGAGTCGTGAGTAGTGAATAGTGCTGAATAAGAAGTGAGTAGTGAGTAGTGAGTAGTGAGTAGTGGGTAGAGAGTAGTGCGTAATGAGTAGTGAGTGCTGTTTGGGGCTAGGGTTAGAGTTCGGGGTTAGGGTTGGGTTTAGGGTACGGGTGACGATGAGCGTTGGGGGTGGTTGGGGTCGGGTTCCGGAGCCCGGGGGCGCCGTGGCGAAAGGGGGAGAGGGGGGAGGGGGGTTCGAATTTAGCGGCCAAAGGGGGGGAGGGGGGGGTCCACGACGACAGATCGGGAAAGGGGGGGCGGGGGGGAGGGGGTTCCCCGGCGACGGATCGGGAAAGGGGGGGTGGGGTTCCCCGGCGACGGATCGGAAAACGGGGGGTGGGGTTCCCCGACGACGGATCGTGGAAAGGGGGGGGGGTCCCCCCCCCCCCTTGGGGAGATCCAGCGGCGCACCCTCCTTCTTAGAAGCACCCCTACTTAAAATCATGCGGTCGCAAACATGGATCAAGGGGGCGTGGATTAGCCACGGGTCCCGTTTCCATGTGAAATCACGGATTTCCGCCGCCGGACGAGCCGGCACCGGCCGCAGCGGCGCACCCTCCTTCTTAGAAGCACCCCTACTTAAAATCATGCGGTCGCAAACATGGATCAAGGGGGCGTGGATTAGCCACGGGTCCCGTTTCCATGTGAAATCACGGATTTCCGCCGCCGGACGAGCCGGCACCGGCCGCATTTTGTGGAAGGCACCTCCCCCGATCCATGGATTTGGCGACCCCGCGCGCCAAATCCATGGATCGCTAATCCGTGTTTGCGCGCCCCCAATGGAAGGCGCGCGCCTTTGCGCCGGCGGTCGCAGGCTCACCGTACGCAGAGGATCGGACCCCCAAGTCGGCGTTGCCTTCTTTGGGCGCAGAGGGCCGTCCCTCTGCGGTGAGGGAGATCCAGGAGGCCTCGCGCGGCGCGCAGTAGTTGTATCATCTAGTCCGCACGCTCACCCTGTCAGATACCGGATGGCCTTCGCGCGGCGATGTTCCGAGGTAAGTCCGGCGTGAGTCCGAGGTACACTCCACGCAGTCCGACCTGAGCCTCACGTAAATCCGACGTGGATCCGTTGTGAATGGGGTCTCAGGTTGCTGCGCGAGGCCTGCAGGATTTTCCTCATAACCTCCACTGTTCAAGCCAGTCTGAAGACCATCACTTAAAACGATCGTTCCCAGCTTGAGTTTCCACTGTACCCGGCCACGGCCCTCTCGGCCTCGGCCAGACTCGACCTTGATCATCGGGCGGGCTGCGCTGCAGGGTTGCTCGCGGTCGTGGGCCGAGGGAGGAGGTCAATTCACCCGGTGTGCAACACAGAGGCCTGCACGCGGCTTTCAAGGCACATCAGCTCGCGCTTGTAGACCACGCGCATGCGGCCTCGGGCTGCATGGCCGACGACAAGATCGTCGAGATGAGAGTTTCTTCCTGCGCCTGCAGTGCACACTGCGCCTGAACAGAAGATATTGCCTCCTAATTCCGCGTTCCATTTTACCTACGCGAGAGATCTGGCCAGGTGTGATATTCCAATCTGTAGCTGTAGTCCGTCTGAGTCGCAGAGCATGCTTGACGCAGTCTAGCTTTCGAATCCGTGCAGCGTTGTTTTTCATCTCTGAAACCGATGCCCGAGACTCCGTGTGACGATAATGCCGCAGCATCACACCCTCCAGTGCGAGGAACGATCTGAGCAATAGCGCCCGAGCCTCTCTGAGGCACGCGCGGGCCTGTGACTTCGAGCAGGAGATATTCCTCCGCCTTTGTTCGCGTGGCCCTGAGAACTGGCTGGGACTTGTGTCTGGCCTGTCCCTCTCCACAGGAGGACGATTCAACAATAGTAAAAAAATAGCCTGCGGCCGATTTTTCGATTATTTGTTAAACCATTTTAGACTATTTTTGAGCATGTTTGGGCAATTTTTCGTTTTTCGTCGAAACTCTGACTGTAGGGGGACATGCCCGACCTAAGCTTGGACCCACCCACTCGAACTTGGTCGAACTGGCTTGCTGGACGTCTTCGGCGCCTGATCCCCCGCCTCTGCCACCGCCGCAGCCGCAGCAGCTCTTCCTACGTGTGTGGCTCGCGTGCATCGGTGTAGTCGTCCGCAGACGCGCCAACGGTGTGTTAGCTAACGGCGATGTAGGAAAACCAATTGTAGGAATAGGGGGTCACATGCGAAACCTACCCCTCCTACCCCACGATTTCTGAGGGGGAGGGTGGCGGAGTGAACCCCACTCTCCCCCTCAGAAATCGTGGGTGGTAGGGGTAGGGTTCGCATGTGGCCCCCTAATTGCAGGAAGGCGTGGTCCGTGGTCAAACCAATTGCAGGAACGCGTGGTTCGCGTTTTCCTACCAACTCGCCGTGCCGTTTTCGTTTGACACATTCGCATATTTGAATTGTAGGAAACGGTCTTTCGTGATTTCCTACATGTTGTTCTGCGTGAGCTCGGTGTCACAAACAAAAACGTATCCCCAACCGCACCGTTAACCAAGCACGTCGTTGGCGCGGCCTTGGGTCGTGGTCGGCAGCGATGTGAGCGGCAAGGGGATCCCAGGCCTTGTCTCCAAGGCAGGGCACGCACCCGAAGGACGACGTGGCGAAATCGCATGCCCAACGGACCCGCGGCGCAATCCCGAGGGCCAGCCTTTAGTACTGTATCTTCCCCAGTGGAGCCCTCAGGGTTTAACCAAATCAAACACGCCCTAGTTGGTGAGGGACAGGCTTTTCCGTTTTTCCTGGCCTTCCACCAAGGATTTGAACGACCATTTGTTGGTCCTTGGGATCACGTTCCCAGTCTTGGTGTGCTCACTCGAGACCGAGATTTGCCGCGCGCGTCGGTACAACTTGCCGAGCCTGGCCCCAGTCGCGCGGGCGACCGAGAGATCTCCAGTGGGGGGGGGTCGGGGATCATTGACAAAAACAAGCATGGAACCCGTAACCCCCCCAACCCGAAATTCGGGTCTTCGGGTTGGGTTGGGTTGGGGTGGTCTGGTAGTCACACAGCCGCTGTCGCCCTGGACCTCGCCTAAGGGTGTCCTGGGCCTCGCGGGTCGGCGTCGGCGTCGGCGTCGGCGTCGGCGTCGGCGTCGGCGTCGTCGGTGTCGGCGTCTGCGTCGGCGTCGGCGTCGATCGTCGTCGTCGTCGTCGTCGTCGTCGTCGTCGTCGTCGTCGTCGTCGTCGTCGTCGTCAGCTTCCACGTGACCAACTTCTGCTTGAGAGTGTGGAGGCTGTCTTTGCCCGTCTCCTCGCACTCCCATACCTTGAACTTGTTCCAACACTCGCAGCTCATGGCGATGCCGATGACCGCTTGCACACCCTTCTTGTCGTCGACGTTGCCCGTGGCGCCAGGATGCGACACACCTTGAGCGCCAGCGAACACGTTGGTGGCGCTCTGGGATTCGGGGTACCGGTGTGGACCCCAGACAGGGTCTGCCTAAGCGCAAGCGCTGCTTAAAATTCGGGTCGCATTCGTCGTCGTCGTAGTCGTCGTCTTCTGCCTGCCTCCTTTCCTCCCTCCTTCCTCGCCCAGGAAGCAGCAGAGGGAAGGGGTGCAGGGCTTGCAGGGAGAGTGCAGACGATGAGAGCCGCAACGGTCTCCTCGACCTCAGGACCTGGCTGACCAGCTGCCCGCGATGGCGCGACGCTGCGCGCCACGCCCCGTCGGCTCGACGGCCTCGACGTCGGCGGTCCGCGTCGGCCTCCGCCGCCATGCCAGCACTTCGAGCCTCCCGCGCCCTCTGCGGCAGCCCGTGCAGGTCCTGGTCAGACGCCCCCGACTTGCTTTACGTCGGGCGTGTCCCTCTACAGGAGGGCGATTCAAACATAGCCTGAAAATAGTATGGGGACGATTTCTTGTGCGGTGTTGAAAACATGTTTGGGTATCATTTTACTACTTTTCTTACTTTTTCGTCGACAATCTCCCTGTAGGGGGACATGGCCGACCTGAGACTTGCTCCTGCCACGCTGGGGAGTCCCTGCTGCTGCGCCATCCTCCTCGAACCGCAGGCTCCGCCTATCGCCAGCAGCAGAGCTGCACCACGTTGTGCCCTGCATCTTGTGCACCGACCGCCCTGGGTCTGCAGCTGGTCACTCTGCTGGTCGGGCATGTCCCTCCACAGAGGGAATTAAAAACATAGTCTGGGGACGATTATTCTTTTTCACGCATTTGTGACTATTTTTTTCGATTTGGTCCTGTTCGTCTAAAATCTGCCTGTAGGAGGACACGCCCGACCTAACTCTTGCATTGGGTCTACGGGAAACGCGGCGCATTTGCTGCCCCCTGCTTTCGCACACGCCTGAGAGATTCGGTTGAACTCTCAAACACCACGTCCGAGGTGCAAGGCGTTGCCCGAGCCAAATCGCTCAAGCAAACAACTTGAGGAAGGAGGAGGAGGACGGGGGGAGGATAAGGAGGAGGGGAGGAGGAAAAGGAGGGATTAATGGGATGAGAGGGAGGAGAGAGGCGGGAGGGAAGAGGTGCGATGAGGAGCGGGACGACGAGGAAGATGACGATGAGGACGACGATGACAACGACGAGGAGGAGGAGGAGGAGGAGGAGGAGGAGGAGCGGAGGGGAGGGAGGAGGTGCTGGAGGTGGTTGTGGTTGGACTGCGGAGCAGGCGCGCCGCCCAAAGTGCGCGCCCCGGCCGCAGTCCCGTGCCCTGAAGCACGAGGAGATCCACCAGGAGATGTTGAACAAGATCGACCAGAACGCGCAGGACCCGTCGGCTCGCCTCTTCCTCTTGCCCCCTGCGACCCCAGCCAGAGAACCACGTCCGGCGGCTGGGCTGGAAGGTAGTTCAGGGGCAACGTTAGGGGGGGATAGGCATAGGGGGGGACGCATCGACCCCCAATCGCCCATTGATCGCCGATAGGGGCCCGATAGCCCCAACCTGCCCAGGAAGGTGCGGATTCACTATCGGAGGCCTATCGCCGATCTATCGGCGATGTATCGCCGATTCCAGGTCGATGCATCCCCCCTCTATGCCAGTCCCCCCCTATCGTTGCCCTCAGTAGTGCCAACGCTGGGCTGGGAGGTACAACAGCGTAGCGCGAGCGTCCGTCAGGGTCCGGGCCCGTGGGGCCCACGGCACGAGGCCTAGGAGTTTCGTTGTTTATTCGGTGGGGCCCTGGCGTCAGTGGCGGGGTGTCCCCCTCCGGCCCTTCATCGTAAAGGCACCGAGAGTCGGGGCCCCCAAACGGGGTGGTGACCACACCGTGTGGTGAGTCGGTGGGGATTCGGGGTCACCGCACGGTTTTGGGACTCTGGTCCAAAAACCGAGCGATGACAGACCGTGCGGTGAGGTCTTGGGGGATTTCCAGGTCACCGCACGGTCTGTCACCGCACCGTTTCGGGACTCCAAAGTCCAGGGTGGGTGGGTGCCGCATCCCCCCAGCACGTGTGCTGCGGTGCTCACGGGCATGTGGTGGTACTCACAGGCGTGCCGTGGCACCCTCAGGCTACTGCAGTCCCCGCAGGCTCAGAAGCAGGAGGGTGGCACTTCCGCATTTTCTTTACTCACAGCGACTAAAACTACAGCAAAAACTACAGCAATATCAATTTTTACTGTATACATATAACGGCGCACCGGGTCCGGGGGCCCGGGGCCGGGACCTCGACCACAAATGTGGGCCCCAGGGGGCCCGGAGGCTCGTCGGACCGCCGGACGCCGTCCAAGATCGTTCGCAGGCGGCTTCGGAACGCGCTCCGATGGCTCCAGATGCCTTCCAAGACGCCTGTCATGACACCAAGAAGGTCCCAGAAGCCTCCAAGACGCTCCGAGAGGCAGCCCAAGAGAGGCCCAAGAAGCAAAAATCGTGCCATTCCTATGGGAAAACGTATATTTTTC